TTGTGATAAATATATTGTGATATCCCCGTAGTAGGAGTGGTTAACCCACTTGGTACTACGGGGATATCACAAAACTGTAACCCATTAGGCATGCGTCCCCAGTACTCAGCAGTCACAGAAAACTTTTGAAATTCGGGGAACCAACCCCTTTTATCGCAGCTTTGTGGAATGCCCGTGATAGCAAGTTGGTTAATCACTCCTACTACGGGTACATCACAATATATATATATATATATATATATATGTGTGTGTGTGTGTGTGTATGCGTATATATTATATATATACATATATGTGTGTGTGTGTATGTATTTATGTTCATGTGTAAGTATATAAATATTTATATGCAAATATATATATATGTGTGTGTGTATTTTATATATATATATGTATATATATATGTGTGTGTGTGTGTGTGTGTGTTTGTGTGGGTCTGTATCTGTGTCTGTGTCTGTGTGTTGATATACATATTCATATTCATATTTATATCTCTATTTTATCTTCCTATTTATATGTACATACATATATATATTACCTACCATCAGATAACGGATGAGGTCAAGCAAGCGTGGGACGCAGTGGATAAAGAGGACATGCAAACAATGCACACTAATCTGACAGGTGTCATTGAAAGCCTCTCCCGTGCCACTCCTATGCATAAGGCAGCCGCAAGACTCGACCTCTTGGCTGCATATGCAAGGGTATGCATGTGTATTTGCAACGGTGTATATGTATATACACGCGAACGTTTGTATGTATTTACAACGGTACATATGTATATACGTACGCATTTCTTTGTATGTATACGCACGAACGTTTTATGTATTTGTAACGGTAAATATGTATAAGCATGCGAACGTTTCTATGTATTTGCAACGGTATGTATGTATATGCATACGATTGTTTATATGTATTTGTAACGGTATACATGTATATACGTACCAACCAATGCAAGTTCTCAGGCATGATCGTATCTGCACGCAATTGGGATTGTAAGACTGTGCATATTGTACATATCATTTAACAAAAAATCGCTTGTCTCTCCATGTTTTCTACTCCCATTTTTGCAGCCTGTGAACTTCTACCTGTCCATATAACACATATATTCATCGTCCTCTCATCTATTACGCTTCATATAACCAGCTATTACGTTCCATATAACCAGCTATTACGTTTCATCTTACCAGTTATTACGCTTCATATTACCAGCTATTACATTTCATCTTACCAGCTATTACGTTTCATCTTACCAATTACGCAACTTTTTATCTGTACGCCATTTACTCTACAGACACCCTTCCTCCTCTCAACATATACAAATATTACCCATAATTAGCAATCTTCTTATCCTTCTTTGTCTCCATTTGTCCTTGTCCGTGGAGTGTATGTTTACTACAGACATCCTTTCTCCTCTCAGCATATACAAATTCTACCCATAATTCAGCAAATACATTTCTATTTCATTTACTTTTTCTCCGTATGACCTTTTCCAAGTGCATTTCTGTTTTTTCTTTTTCTTTTTCTTCTTCTTCTTCTTTATATTTCGTCTTCTTTTTCTTTACGTTTATTTTTCCACATGACCTTGTCCTTGCAGTGTATGGCTGAGTTGTATCCTGCTCTGGTCGAACGCGGTCTCTATCGACAGGCGGACATCTTCACTCTATTTGGACCTCGCCTTCTAACAGTATGTACTCCGATCTATAAATAGCTCAGTGTTTTAGAGTTTATGGGTTCGTAGTAAGTCAATCGTGTGCGAACTTTGATCTATGGATAAGTCGTACCGATAATTCGATGTATAGTTAAGGCGTATGTGCACTTCGATCTAAAGTTAGCTCATGTTTGTCTGCTGCGATATATATATATATATGTGTGTGTGTGTGTGTGTGTGCGTGTGTGTGTGTGTGTGTGTGTAAATATATATATATAAAGAAGTATTATACCATCTCTGACACCTTGTTCTTCGGTCTCATATACTTCGTGCTATCGCTCTGTTAACGCGGTGTATTGAATACTCTTGATCCCATTCACATCTGCACCATCGTAACACTACAGAAATAACATTGTCCGATCACTAGTGGCTCGCCGTATGGCACATTTTTTTTTTGAACCCAAATTTGTTTTTTATTTCTTGAGCGAAGAACAAAAACCTCGGTCAAATGAACGCGTACAAAACACGCCATGAGTGTTAGACGAATGCACGTGACACACAGTTCTATTTATAGCTGGCACACTTTAAACCTCATTGTCCAATCAAAACGTTCCATCGGCCTGCACCAAGCACGTGGCACAGATGGCTATTTATATATGAAATTAACCTATTTTTATCATCCAATTAAAATAGGATATGTGCCAGAAAGTGAGCACCCAGAGCATTCCATTGTACGCATAATTATTATCTTCATCTTCGATATCTGGCATGGAAACTATTTTTATCAACCAATCAAAACAGGATACGCTCCGGAAAGGAAGTACCCAGAACATTCCATTGGTCTACACGGGACAGTTGTTGCAGTCGTGGCCTAGTGCGTGCGCACTCCCCGAGGCCATGGCTGTGGCGCTGTGGGTGATGGCGACCTTTTCGGACAGAACTGTGGTCACACGCCCTATATTGGTAGGTATATTTGTGTTTCATTCTGACAGGTATATGTGGTCTATTCGGGTACGAACAGATTTGTTATATTCAGGAAGGCATATTTGTAGTCTATTGGTGGGTACAGAAGTATTTTTTGATTTGTAGGTATGTTTGTCTATTCTGGTAGGTATATTTGTAGTCTATTCTGGTAAATACAGTAGTATTTTTATATTTGTAGTATGTTTGCCTATTCTGGTAGGTATAGTCTATTCTGGTAAGTACAGTAGTATTTCTATAATTGTAGTATGTTTGTCTATTCTGGTAGGTATATTTGTAGTCTTGGTAGGTATATTTGTAGTCTATTCTGGTAAGTACAGTAGTATTTCTATATTTGTAGTATGTTTGTCTATTCTGGTAGGTGCAGGTGCATTTTATTCTGGTAGATGTATTTGTAGTCTGTTCTGATAGGGTATATTTGTAATCTATTTTGGTAGATACAAGTGTGTTTCATCCTGGTAAGTATATTTGTAATCTGTTTTGGTAAATATAAGTGTGTTTCATTTTGGTAGGTATATTCGTAGTTTTCATTCTGGTAGGTGCAGGTGTATCTAAAGCATGGAAAATAAAATTCCCGGGTTTTAGTCATATTTTGATGCGTGGAATCAGGATTGGGAATGTACACAGTATATACATATATATATATATATATATATATATATATATATATATATATATATATATATATATATATATATATATATATATATATATATATATATATATATATATATATATATATATATATATATATATATATATATATATATATATATATATAT